ATACGTTTCCTAAATCAGAGTTGCTAAAGTTTTAATCTCAGGTTCTGATCCTCAAGTCCTAATGACCCAAGTAAAGCCTTGACTAAGACTGCTCATATCCCATTATCTCAAACATATTTGTTTACGGACCTAGGCAGTCTCAGTCAAGACTTGCTCTTGGTTCATTAGGTCTTGAGGATCAGAACTTGAGATTAAAACTTTGGCAACTCTAATTTAGGAACCGTATTGCATATAGACGCACACATATTCAACAATCGAGCAAAAATAACAGGCCTAGTATGAAAAAAAATTAACCAAACCTAGGTTTTTAATCTTCTTTTGGCACAATTGAGTCTATATAAGAAGTAAGATAGAGCCGGTTAGTGTTCTCGGCCTAGTGTTAACGTGTGACTCTTACAAGAATGAAACCCATCTTTGATGATGTCCATCGAATGATGGACGAAAGCTCATCAGGTTTCCACCCGAACCGAGAGAGGAAGTCTTGTGGACTGCGTCAACATGAATATCGTATGAAAGCCAAACGGCTGCAGTACAACGAGATTCATCCGTCCTTTTTTGGTCAGATCGACCAATGAATCTCTTCTTCATTCACTTTCATGCGAACTGAAAGTCCCCCTAACAATGTTATCTCAAGAGATTCATCGAAACCCAGTTTCTCTTCGTATCCATAACATCTTAGTCTTAGTATCTCCCTGTGATTATTTGTTCTTCATATGCTTGAACTTTTCGGGGTGGATCGCCTTATTTCACATGAGTAATTTTGGCAAATTTGTTAGTCCGTTTGCTCTAATCACTTCATGTCTCTGTATCAAAGTACCATATGAGATCGTTGACCTGATAGACCCGTAGAGCTGTGTGGCCAAGATGCCAAAGATCGTGTTTCGAATCCCACTGATGCGATCTGACTAAGGCATAAACTGCATTCCATTCTGACACATAAAATGCCCCCTTCTATCATTACGGGATCGACTCCACCATCGTTTCTCAGATCACCTTAAGCGACCGTGTTGGACCATTCAAAGGTATGGAGACCAAGATGTTGCAGCCTCTCTTTTGGTCGCCTCCTCCTTCTGCTGCATAGAAGGTGTTTGTCCTCGTTTTAACATATACGAAGAAAAGTTGGGTTTCGAGGAATCTCTTGTTGCATAATTGTTGAGCTTACTTCCATTTCGACAGCTGGTCAAGAAGAATCCACCCTCGTCTTCTGGTGGAACCGACCTTCGAATCTCTTCAACCAACACTTCCACTCGAAATGAAAGTGAGCTCGTTTTAACAACTTACTCGTGTCGCCAGGGCGATATTGTCCGGAATCTCTTCGTATAATAGTCATGGTAGGTTACCGCGTGGACTAAGATGTCGGCGAAACCTCCTGGGATGCACCAAGTTCATGGCGTGACGCTGGAAATGATCAGGATTAAAAAGGTAGAGAACTCCGAACCAGATGTTTTCATCTGGGTCGCCATGGCAACATGACCAAGTTGTGAATAAATTGACTTATTTCGTAGTAAATTGAGGGTATCGTACATTGCTCTACTCGGTGCTCGCCTGAATTCCTTCATCTCGTCCTCTAATTCTCCGACGAGGTGGATTCATTCTGACCTGTTCTGTTTGTGTTTTACAGAAGATCTCAGTTGGTCGCAGGACTAGTCACAACGATAACAACAAAAACAATAATAACCAAGTGACCATCAGGCTATACATACAGCAAAATATACATCCGAATCCCCGATTATGCTGTGCAGAGCCGTGTGTCGTGTGAGGACAGGTATCCTCATATTGTATGAAAATTCCCCGAAAAATCAAAAATGACGATTTTAAAAGGGATTTCTGATGCTAAACCGAGTGTCTGACGGTTAAAGCTGGGTGTGTGTCGCCACATCTGAGCAATAAAATGTGTATTTTTTCCCGTCTTAGCTCCATCATATTAATTTGTGCCTCTTATCCTGGACACTATAGCCACGATCACTTCAACTCTGAAGCTGATAGAAAGAAACGATACCTTCATCAAGATAGGATGGACCCTGGTCGAGAGTCAAATTGACGGCTATATCGCTGCTTTGGCGCCCAGCACCAATAGAACTAATATTAGTACTATCAATCTCCAACCAATCGACAACACGGCTGCTTGGAATGACCTTCAAGCCTGCACAAACTACGATATCAACGTAAAACCCTTCCTGCTCGGGAGCATTCTGGATGAATACACGATCACCATTGCCACATGTAAGTGAAACGACGACCCAGTTTTGGAGGTCGTAGGTGTCCACTCTAAACACTTGCTCGGTCTTTGAAGTGTTATAAAAACGCATTAACCTTTATTCTTTCACAATTTGCCGCCCCCCCCCAACTATGGTTGTCAACCGCCAGGTTACAAATAGTGGTCATCGTGGCTGGATTTCGGATGGCAACAACTGACCGACAGGCTACCAAGAGACTGCAGAGTAAGGTTTTCGCGAATTAGCCTAGTTTCACGCTACCACAAGGTTACACCATCGCTCTGATATTCATGAATTACTTGGTTTGTAGACCAGACCCTCAAACTCCTCGTACGTCGAAACTTTCGTTTGCCATTCACAGCAAGCTTGACCTGTAAAGGTCCCTATAGTTTTGTGGTCTCAAGCTTCAACTATATGACCTGACCTACTGGCATTCTTGAAAACCTACTTATTAAACGAAAA